TGTCAGATCGTTCCGACTGACATTGTAAAGGGATATTGGCGAGTGTGACTTCGCTCACAGTGATATGGGACCGTGGGTGGGACCGTGGGCTCCCAGTACCATACTTGTGTTACATAACCCCTATTTACATACTGGTGTCAACTACCTCCAAGTGACGCACATATTGTGCCGTAATGGCATTCTGGTGCTGTGTCGACCCTACTGGTGTTGGCATACCGGTTTTGGCATACGGGTGTTATATGTCCATAACGTACAAACTGGTATTATAGTGCCCTACGTGGCATAATAGTGTTGTGTAGCCAGATACGAGTAACATACTGGTGTCATATTGCACTAAGTAACGTAAAGAGTTACTGTATTTCGCTCTTAGTAAAGTACTGTTATCTTAGACAAACCAGCATACTATCTGACATACCTGTGTTTCATAACTACCCAGGATATAGACGTGTTATATCTTCAAGTGCATAGCTGTGTTTCATAACTACCCAGGATATAAAAGTGTTACATATCTTCAAGTGCATACCTGTGTTTCATAACTACCCAGGATATAAAAGTGTTACATATCTTCAAGTGCATACCGGTGTTTTGATAGCCACCATGGATATAGAAGTGTTACATATCTTCAAGTGCATACCGGTGTTTCATAACTACCCAGGATATAGAAGTGTTACATATCTTCAAGTGCATACCGGTGTTTCATAACTACCCAGGATATAGAAGTGTTACATATCTTCAAGTGCATACCGGTGTTTGATAACTACCCAGGATATAGAAGTGTTACATATCTTCAAGTGCATACCGGTGTTTCATAACTACCCAGGATATAGAAGTGTTACATATCTTCAAGTGCATACCGGTGTTTCATAACTACCCAGGATACAGAAGTGTTACATATCTTCAAGTGCATACCGGTGTTTCATAACTACCCAGTACATAGAAGTCCTACATATCTTCAAGTGCATACCGGTGTTTCACAATTACCCAGGATACAGAAGTGTTACATATCTTCAAGTGCATACCAGGTTTCATAACTACCCAGGATATAGAAGTGCTACATATCTTCAAGTGCATACCGGTGTTTCATAACTACCCAGGATATAGAAGTGTTACATATCTTCAAGTGCATACCGGTGTTTCATAACTCATAACTACCCAGGATATAGAAGTGTTACATATCTTCAAGTGCATACCAGTGTTTCATAACTACCCAGGATATAGAAGTGTTACATATCTTCAAGTGCATACCGGTGTTTCATAACTACCCAGGATATAGAAGTGTTACATATCTTCAAGTGCATACCGGTGTTTCATAACTACCCAGGATATAGAAGTGTTATATCTTCAAGTGCATACCGGTGTTTCATAACTACCCAGGATATAGAAGTGTTATATCTTCAAGTGCATACCGGTGTTTCATAACTACCCAGGATATAGAAGTGTTACATATCTTCTAGTGCATACCGGTGTTTCATAACTACCCAGGATATAGAAGTGTTACATATCTTCTAGTGCATACCAGTAGTTTCATAACTACCCAGGATATAGAAGTGTTACATATCTTCAAGTGCATACCGGTGTTTCATAACTACCCAGTATATAGAAGTGTTATATCTTCAAGTGCATACCGGTGTTCATAATAACACAGGATATAGAAGTGTTACATATCTTCAAGTGCATACCTGTGTTTCATAACTACCCAGGATATAAAAGTGTTACATATCTTCAAGTGCATACCGGTGTTTCATAACTACCCAGGATATAGAAGTGCTACATATCTTCGAGTGCATACCGGTGTTTGATAACTACCCAGGATACAGAAGTGTTACATATCTTCAAGTACATACCGGTGTTTCATAACTACCCAGGATATAGAAGTGTTACATATCTTCAAGTGCATACCGGTGTTTCATAACTACCCAGGATATAGAAGTGTTACATATCTTCAAGTGCATACCGGTGTTTCATAACTACCCAGGATACAGAAGTGTTACATATCTTCAAGTGCATACCGGTGTTTCATAACTACCCAGGACATAGAAGTGTTACATATCTTCAAGTGCATACCGGTGTTTCATAATTACCCAGGATATAGAAGTGTTACATATCTTCAAGTGCATACCAGGTTTCATAACTACCCAGGATATAGAAGTGTTACATATCTTCAAGTGCATACCGGTGTTTCATAACTACCCAGGATATAGAAGTGTTACACATCTTCAAGTGCGAACCCGTGTTTCATAACTGCACAGGTCATAGAAGTGTTACATAACTTCTAGTGCATACCAGTGTTTCATAACTATCCAGGATATAGAAGTGTTACATATCTTCTAGTGCATACTGGTGTTTCATAACTACCCAGTATATAGAAGTGCTACATCTTCAAGTGCATACCGGTGTTTCATAATTACCCAGTATATAGAAGTGTTACATATATCTTCAAGTGCATACCGGTGTTTGAAAACTACCATGGATATAGAAGTGCTACATATCTTCAAGTGCATACCAGTGTTTCATAATTACCCAGTATATAGAAGTGTTACATATATCTTCAAGTGCATACCGGTGTTTGAAAACTACCATGGATATAGAAGTGCTACATATCTTCAGTGCATACCGGTGTTTCATAACTACCCAGGATATAGAAGTGTTACATATATCTTCAAGTGCATACCGGTGTTTCATAACTACCCAGTATATAGAAGTGTTATATCTTCAAGTGCATACCGGTGTTTCATAATTACCCAGGATATAGAAGTGTTACATATATCTTCAAGTGCATACCGGTGTTTCATAACTACCCAGGATATAGAAGTGTTACATATCTTCTAATGCATACCGGTGTTTCATAACTACCCAGGATATAGAAGTGTTACATATATCTTCAAGTGCATACCGGTGTTTCATAACTACCATGGATATAGAAGTGTTACATATCTTCAAGTGCATACCGGTGTTTCATAATTACCCAGGATATAGAAGTGTTACATCTTCAAGTGCATACCAGTGTTTCATAATTACCCAGGATATAGAAGTGTTACATATATCATCAAGTGCATACCGGTGTTTCATAATTACCCAGGATATAGAAGTGTTACATATCTTCAAGTGCATACCGGTGTTTCATAACTACCCAGGATATAGAAGTGTTACATATCTTCAAGTGCATACCGGTGTTTCATAACTACCCAGGATACAGAAGTGTTACATATATCATCAAGTGCATACCGGTGTTTCATAACTACCCAGGATATAGAAGTGTTACATATCTTCAAGTGCATACCGGTGTTTCATAACTACCCAGGATATAGAAGTGTTACATATATCTTCAAGTACATACCGGTGTTTCATAACTACCCAGGATATAGAAGTGTTACATATATCTTTAAAAGTGCATACCGGTGTTTCATAACTACCAGGATATAGAAGTGTTACATAACTTCTTCTAGTGCATACCGGTGTTTCATAACTACCCAGGATATAGAAGTGTTACATATCTTCAAGTGCATACCGGTGTTTCATAACTACCCAGTATATAGAAGTGTTATATCTTCAAGTGCATACCGGTGTTTCATAATTACCCAGTATATAGAAGTGTTATATCTTCAAGTGCATACCGGTGTTTCATAACTACCCAGGATATAGAAGTGTTACATATCTTCAAGTGCATACCGGTGTTTCATTAACTACCCAGGATATAGAAGTGTTACATATCTTCAAGTGCATACCGGTGTTTCATAACTACCAGGGATATAGAAGTGCTATATATCTTCAAGTGCATACCGGTGTTTCATAACTGCACAGGTCATAGAAGTGTTACATATCTTCAAGTGCATACCGGTGTCTCATAACTACCCAGGATACAAAAGTGTTACATATCTTCAAGTGCATACCGGTGTTTCATAACTACCCTTGACAAAGAAGTGTTAAATATCTTCAAATGCTTACCGGTGTGTCTTTACTACCCAGGACACAGAAGTCTTACATATCTTGCACGTATTACACTACAGCCAGGAATTAAAACAGTTTAACATGACACCGCAGGACCTACCAATGTCATGCAACTATTCAGGGCATACCGATTTAACATGTGGCGCATAACTCAAAAGACATACCAGTGTAACAAAATCTCTACAGGGAATGCCACAGGACATACCACATATGACATACCAAAGTTACATAACACCCAGGACACAACAGTGTTACAAAGCTTCTTTGACTACCAGGGTTATATAACACCTAGGAGATACAATCGTAACAATATGTTTAGGACTTGGCATTGATTTAAGTGTTAATTATCTCCCCTGGTTTTGCTAGCGTTATATAAATCGCTAGGTCATACCCGTGTTACATAACTCCCCAGGACATATCCGTGTTACGTAACTCCCAAGGACAACATACCATAACTCTTCTGTGCATACAACTCTCTGCGACATACGAGTGCTACAACACTCTCAGGGACATACACGTATTACATAACATCCTGCAACATGCCAGCGTTCCATAACTAGGACATTCTAGTGGGACAAACCAGTATTTGACAACTAGCTAGGACATTTAACAGACCTGCTAGGACATGCAGTAGTGTTAGCTAGGACATTCTAGTGTTAGATAACTCCCTAGGACATACCATTATTTGACAACTAGCTAGGACATTCTAGTGTTAGATAACTCCTTAGGACATGCCAGTATTTGATAACTAGCTAGGACATTCTAGTGTTAGATAACTCCCTAGACCATGCCATAACTCTCCCGGAAAGACCAACGCTGCAGAACTCCTCAGGACCTACCAGTCTTCATTGATTTCAAAGGCATGTGACCATGTTACGTCATTTCCAATGATTGACTGCCAATCAATCTCAATGCCTTCCCACGTTGTTGCAGTGCTGGTAGTGATAATTATGTTGCAGTGGAGAAATGTTTGAGTTGTGTAATGGACTGCCACTTGGCATTCACCGCGTGCCTTAATTGTGAAGGTACACCAAGGCAGCCGCAGTGAACACAAACAGGTGCCCTTTATTGTGTCTTAGTTCCGTATCACACTGTCCGCTTCAGCCTACCCTAGCCTCAGTTAGTCAGCTTTGTTCCTCTCAGATTTATATGGAAATGATCCCAGTGAGCCTTCGTCATTGATGCCTTCAAAGAAAATACAGACAAAATATCATTAGTGGTAAAATAATACAATCACATCTCGGATCACGCATTGTCAACAGGAGCTGTGAGTACATGCCTCTCTTTCCGGCAGAATTTCTGCATAAGTTTGGGAATCTTGAATTTCGACTGTAATAATGCAATATTTCACAGCCAATAGTTAAAAAACACAAAAACAACACCTATGAGGCTATACGGGATAGGGTCAGGGTGATTGTTGCTGACAACTCCTGATGGTGGATGGTTGCGTCAGGGTGGGCGTTGTGGGTAGGGTGAATTATTGCGTCAGGGTGGGCGTTGTGGGTAGGGTGGACAGTGGTTCAGGGTGGCTAGTGTGGACAGGGTGGATAGTTGCGTCAGGTGGGCGTTGTGGGTAGGGTGGACAGTGGGTCAGGGTGCGATGTTGTGGTCCGGGTGGCTGGTGTGAACAGGGTTGATGGTTGGGTCAGGGTGGGCGTTGTGGACAGGGTGGACTGTGGCGTTGTCAGGGTGGGCGTTGTGGGTGGACAGGGTGGACTGTGGATAGTTGGGTGCGATGTTGTGGACAGGGTGGCTGGTGTGAACAGGGTGGATGGTGGGTCAGGGCGGACGTTGTGGGCAGGGTGAACAGAGGATCAGTGTGGATGTTGTGGGCGCTGTGGACATCGGGGTCAGATGGGTACTATCGACAGGGTGGATAATAGTTAACAGTAAACAGAAGACATTAGTGGCTGATAATTGTGGACAGTTTTGTTTGCGTAGTTGGAACAGGAACATGGTGGTCTGGTGGTGATCAGAGTCCACCTGGTTCTAAACATGAAACACATGCTTCACCGGATTTTCATGTTCTGTACACTGAGGAATTAGGAGATAATGTCCGTGCGGGCGACATCACTCGGCCCTCGATCAGACAGTTCCGACATCACTCAGCACCAAGGCAATCAGCTCCACAGATTCCCTTTTCTCTGTGGGCGGCCGCGACTTGCGAGAGCTTTCTATTCTCGGGTCCGAGCTATTTTTACAAAGTCTTCCTTCCATTTCTTCGTTGCTGAAGTGTCAAAATGGTGCACTGGCTTTAAGCCTTGAATTGTGGCGATATGGAAAGTCTTTATCAATTTCGTCGGGTTAAGGGCAGAATCAATCGAAGCAAAATGTTTTCTCCGCCCAACTGCCGCCACTGACATTTAGTGAATCACCAGAATGCACGGAAACGCCACGGTTAGTCCTCGGAGCAAAGCTGGTTAACTTCTTTCGTATAAAAATCGATATTAGCTGGTATTTATTGACAGTTTCATTATGATTGTATAATCCTATACAGCCTTTAGCATACATTAGATTGCAACGTTTCTTGCCGATACACTGGAGCCGTTGAGTGACGGACAGTGTGGAGTCCATAAAGGATGTGAATCCACTGTATGTTGTACAGAGTGTTGACGTGGAGCCACTATATGACGGACAATGTGAAGCCTCCGCACCACGTGGACCTGCATGGCTATACATTTCGAAGACCTTGCTACACTGTGGAGCCGCTGTGTGGCGTACAATGAGGAACCCCCATGACATGGAGCCACTCTGCGACTTACAGAGTAGAACCTTCCAAGACGAAGAGCCACTGCGTGATATACATCATTACAACCAGGACGCATTAGCGGAAGCTAAGTCATGGTGAGTCATTATCAGTGTGGAGCCATTGCGTGAATAGATATTATAGGGACGTTATTCCGGGTTCATCCTAGAGTGGAGTAACTGTTAAATACAGATAGTCATTATCAGGAAGTGGAGCCACTGCGTCATACTAAGTCAATGACAAGAAATGGAGTCACTGCGTCAGACTAAGAGTCATTAACAGGCATGGAACCATTATCCCATACCGATCACCATTAATATGAAGTGAAGCCACTGCGGCATACTGGGTGTCATTAACAGGAAGTGGAGTCACTTCGTCATACTGGGTGTCATTAACAGGAAGTAGAGTCATTTCGTCATACTGAGTGTCATTACCAGGAAGTGGAGTCACTTCTTCATACCGGGTGTCATTAACAGGAAGTGGAGTCACTTCGTCATACTGAGTGTCATTAACACGACCAAGAGCCACAACGTCATATAAAGTCATTAGCAGGATATACGTCATACGGAGCTTTTACGTCATACGGAAACTCATTAGCATCACCTCAAGGCACTGTGTTGGCATTATCAGAACACTGAGGCACTGCGTTATAATCGTCATCACTGCGCAAAAGCAGACGCCGCTAGTGGTCGAGTAACAATAATTGACCGTAATATATAAATATGCTAACTTTGACTGAAAAATGTTAAACTAAGCTTTGCAACTGCAGATGTCGAGAAGCTGTGCTCCTCGGAGTTTAAACTATTCACATCACGTGCACTTAATGAGAACTACATATTACGAAATTCATATTAAAACATATCACCTATTCAAACATCAACTCGTCATACATAGGTACGGTTTGTTTTGTTCAAGCCGTTAACACTAAACCGTGAACATAAGGTTGCATTTGTTCTTTGAATGACAGAGTCAACCTTCACTGAAATACTTGTCCTTCAACTTGACCATCATTCTCCGACGTCACAAACCACAGACTTATTCCCCTATCGTGAGCCACTTGAAGTTAATGCTCTATCGCTGTTTCAACAGGAATGTGATATGAGATCTGTCAAGCATTCTGACGAGGTTTGGTAAGTTCTAAGTTGATCTGACAATCAATGTGCGATTCCGTGCTGTACCGAGCAGGTTAAAGCACAACGGCGTGGGAACACAAGTCAGATGCTGTTATTTAATTCCATGGCAGGAGACCAATGTCATCCATTTGACCAGTTATCATCTGTCACAATAGTACATGCCGAGAGATGGAATGAAATAAGATTAACAAATGTAATGACATCATACCGGAGATTCCACTTGACAATCTTTGATTGATACAGGGATTGGGTACATAGATTGCAGATGCCCTAGCAATCACTGGAGTAGACAGCACTAAGGCACAATCACTAAAGAGTTGCTAACAAACATTGAACGATACAGGAATATCGTCCAATGACTGAAGAGGAGTTGACAATCACTGAGAGAATATAGTCCCATGACTGAAGAGGCGCTCACATGCATTGAGTGATACAGGTCTGTGATCCAGTGGCTCTGACAATCACTGAGAAATACAAACCTACGTTAAAATGACAGATGACGCGGTGACAGTCAAAAGAGTGATACAAAAGAACGGTAAAATGGCAGAAGATACGTTAACAACCATTGAAAGATAGAGTACTAGGCTTCACAATGACTGAAGAGACGTGGCAATACCAGACTCACACAGACCTGTGTTATAATGCCCGAAGAGACGTGACAACACCAGATTTACACAGACCTGTGTTAAAATGCCCGAAGAGACGTGACAAAACCAGACTCACACAGACCTATGTTAAAATGACTGAAGAGATGCTGACAATACCAGACTCACACAGACCTATGTTAAATAACTGAAGAGATGCTGACAATACCAGACTCACACAGACCGATGTTAAATAACTATGTTAAAAATGATCGGAAGAGATGCTGGACAATACCAGAAGACACAGACCTATGTTAAATAACTGAGAGATGCTGACAATACCAGACTCAAACAGACCTATGTTAAATAACTGAAGAGATTGACAATACCAATCACACAGACCTATGTTAAAATGCCCGAAGAGATGCTGACAACACCAGACCGATATGTTAAATGACTGAAGAGATGCTGACAATACGAGTATCAAACAGAACTATGTTAAATAACTGAAGAGCTACTGACAATACCAGACTCACACAGACCTATGTTAAAATGCCCACAGAGACGCTGACAATCACTGACTGCTACACAGCTACGTTAGGATGATTTGACCAGAAGCTGGCAATCACGGAGAGATACTTAACTACGTTAAAATGACTGAAGAGACTCCATGTTAAATAACTGAAGAGATGCTGACAATACCAGACTCAAACAGACTTATGTTCAATAACTGAAGAGATGCTGACAATACCAGACTCACACAGACCTATGTTAAATAACTGAAGAGATGCTGACAATACCAGACTCACACAGACCTATGTTAAATAACTGAACAGATGCTGACAATACCAGACTCACACAGACCTATGTTAAATAACTGAACAGATGCTGACAATACCAGACTCAAACAGACCTATGTTAAATAACTGAAGAAATGCTGACAATACCAGACTCACACAGACCTATGTTAAATAACTGAAGAGATGCTGACAATACCAGACTCACACAGACCTATGTTAAATGACTGAAGAGATGCTGACAATACCAGACTCAAACAGACCTATGTTAAATGACTGAAGAGATGCTGACAATACCAGACTCAAACAGACCTATGTTAAATGACTGAAGAGATGCTGACAATACCAGACTCAAACAGACCTATGTTAAATGACTGAAGAGATGCTGACAATACCAGACTCAAACAGACCTATGTTAAATGACTGAAGAGATGCTGACAATACCAGACTCAAACAGACCTATGTTAAATGCCCACAGAGACGCTGACAATCACTGACTGCTACACAGCTAAGTTAGGATGATTTGACCAGAAGCTGGTAATCACGGAGAGATACTAAACTACGTTAAAATGACTGAAGAGACGTGACAATACCAGACTCACACAGACCTTTGTGATAATGCCTGCAGAGACGTGACAACACCAGACTCACACAGACCTAGGTTATAATGCCTGCAGAGACGCGGACAGTCAAGAATGTACTAAGCACAGCTTACACTTCACAATTCCTCGACTAAGATTAAAATACGTCGCGTGCATCCGGACTGGTATGGAGAGCACTGGAAGGACCAGTTTTCTCGCCCCCGTGCAGGTGTGCCATTAACCAGAATAGAGGTGCGCCTGCACGAATGGTACCAATCAGTCACCTGTTCCAGCCGAGTCTATCAGTCCGCAATCAATAATGTGTCGCAAAGGATGGCATGTCAATTTCGTATTAATCAAAGGTAATTTACTAACCATGAGTATGGCTTGGTTCCCGAGGAAGGGTTAGCAGGCTAACCGTACACACGTGCAAAGCAGTAATGGTAAGGAGGCTCTGTCAAACAGTATGCAGACTAGCCTTTCAAAAGTGTATATGTCTAACAGTAAAGGAGGACGGCGAGAAGACTATTCGTACAAACGTATGATGATGGAATAGTAAAGATGGATCATTGTTCAGACGCTAGCATTTCCCGCTGACAAAGTACATGTATTGTGACGTGATCAATGGCGAGTTCATCACCATCATCATATGTCGTAAAGTAGTACCCTCGGAAGATGCAGTGGAGTAAAGTGACCATAATGATTACACTTGCAATAAAAGGCCGGCATTTCAGCTCTGATAATTGGGTCTACACCAGGATAATTAGCATCCGTACTGGCTGTGGTATTGATTCCAGATACCAGAGGTGGTGCAAAATAATTACAGAGAGAAGTGGACATGCATACACGTATCAGCATCCGTTACTGTCGTGGCTGGGATAATGGGCCATCGTCATTCCTCTGAAGGCGTACTGTAGCTTTTGGAATTAGCTTGACGACGTAGTGTAGCGGCCGTCATGGTTGTGACGGCGGTGGAAAGGTCGTCATGAATGTGGCCGGGGTGTACCGTCTATAATGGCTGTGACGTATTTTTTGACAGGCTGTTATTGTTGTGACGGGGATGTACTGCCATCACGGTTGTGACGTACCGCCGTCACGGTTGTGACGTAGGTGTACGGGCCGTCACGGTTATGACGAGGGTATAGAGGTCATCACGGACATGGCGGGGATGTACCGGCCGCCATGAATGTGACGGCATGTACCGGCCGTCATGGTTGTTACGGGGATGTAATGACGTCATGGTTGTGACGTTGGTGTACCGGCCGTCATGGTTGTAAGAGGGTAGTGTTTTGTACTGGTAGTCAAGAGTGTAACAGGATAGAACACCGGTCTTCATGGGTTTAAAGGTAAAGTGTACCGGCCGTAATGGTTGAAATGGGGAAGCATATTGGTTACCATTTGTACAACGGATCGTGTACCGATCGCCAAGGATGTAACATAATAGTGTTCCAGCCACGTGGGTAGAAAAGGGTAACCTACCGCCGTCATGGGTGAAACAGGGTAGTTTAGCATTCGTTAACTGAGACAGTTGATAGTGTGATACTGTAGTTCGACTGGTAATATTTGAGACAATAAAAACATATTTGAAAAAAAACGATAAAAACGATAGATTGATATCATTCAACACATATTAATAAAACATATGTGACAGAAATACTTTTCATACAAACCGTTATTCGAAAACATAAGCCGCCGCGCTTTGTGATTTTTGTCAGTGACCTTGAAAGAACCGATGGCATGCAAGAAACCTATGGTTCAAATCCAAGACTTGCGCTTGCTATGCCTCTTCGCCTGCAGCTGACGCCTAATAAAGTACGACATAAGATGCCCGACCGTTACTGTGCAGTATTCAAAGTAGATGTATCAGCGCTGCAAATAAGATGTTAATTGAAGACCGCCGTTGAACAAAGCATGTTGCGCCTCCTACAAAGTCCAATCTCTCCATCCCCCTCCAGTACTAATCCCCTCTTGTCACCCATCAACTCCACGCTGGCTGTCATCTACACGAGTACATCTTTACGGCGATCAATACCAGCTCTCATTGTGTCAGCACTTACTCCATTGATAACTCCGTGATCAATACATAGCCACATCTTAGTGCCAGCAACGTCACTGTATTACGATTAACCATCCAATTGTTTCCCCTCGCCACGTGCCCCTCCATTTCACACAAAGGGGCACCCCTGTTTCTGTCCATAATAGCAAATATGGGCGCAAAATACAATTAAATTTGATTGCTATTGTTAAGGAATAATTCAGGATGCTGATCACCATGGCAACCACTGGAGACGTGAGTCACTCGAGTTCATTGAGTTTTGCAAAACGAGATCTGTTCGGAGTTCAATTACGGCTCATGTTGAGTCTAATGCCGGGGATTGCTTCGGAGAAATGAACGAGACGAATAATGGGGAAATATTGATGTTAGAAATAGTGGGGAGAACAGGAGGGAGGTGGGGAAGATGGGGATACACGAGTAGGCAGGGGATACTAGTCGATTTATGGGGATAATGGACTAAAACGTAAAAGTACATGGGGCGTCGTGGATAGTGAATAGGTGTGACCATAGTATTAACCAAAGAGTAACGTTTTTAATCAATACATTTAACGGTTTAGACTGATTTTATGAAAAATAGACTTTGCCTGGCAATATATATTTTTAGACGCGAGAACAATAACAAGGAATAATGTATGTTCTATGATAATATCAACCAGATGTTGTATATATTATGTCTAGAAAAACATCAAGGAATACTGTAAAAGTCTTTAAAATTATTCCCAACCCGGCGATATTTTAGAGACGACATTGCATTATGACGTCATCACAACGTCATACAGTTGTCCCATGATGCAATGACTGGTTGATTTTTTTTTTTTAAAAATGAAAATATAATTCTATATGATCAAGAAGTGGTGGTATTTAAGAAGTACATATGAAGATAAAGGATGGTTGGTGGCGTGGTGGGACTGCTGCATAGAGGAGAGAGAGGGACACGTTGGGACGGGAAGATGTAACTCTGGATAGCGGTTCCAAGGGATGATAAGGGTTAAGAATGAGGGGCAGGCTAGAAGCGAGAAAAAATAAAATTGGTAGAAAAGCGTTTGTTATAAGTTTCACTTCAATAATGTGCGATTTTGTTTTGATTGTTGGAAATGTTTGATTTTATTGTTCGTTTATTGTTTTCATAATGTTGTTCTTGTTTTATGTATATTGTCCTCATGATTTTTTCCTTTGTTTTGTTTTATTTTGTTGTTGTTTTGAATTTGTTAGGGACATGGGGTTGGATGTGCTTTGTTGTGAGAGAAATGGAGAGAGTCGTCACGTGAGACCAAACGGAGTGAGAGACGTAAGAAGTAGAGTTATCAGCGGGAATGTTAAGAGATAGTAGCAAGTGGAGAATCTGTAAGTCAGTGAGGGCGCACCATCAGTCAACTCGGACCCCAAACCTACCCCAATGTATGTGTGATGCATGCTGTTGTGACCAACATCAATCAGTTGTCCACTGACCGTATCATTAGGCAACTGGCATTAGGTTCAGTGATGGTCAGCGTGAAATGTTCTACTGGTGACCCCAGGGCAGGAGTTGGCAGGGGGTCGATGGTGTGGAAGGCAGATGTGTAGATGGGTATTGACATGGCAAACACCTCACTAATTGTTTAACTCTGAGCAACATTGTTGTGATAAAAGTTTCAAAAAAGTTTAGAAATTACCCGCAGGTTGTGGGAAGTGTGCACAGAATGCGGCGGAAGGTCAAAGGGTCAAGGTCGACTACGAGACATACTAATCATATCTGTTATCGTAATGTTCATGAATACGGTAAATAATTATTAAAAGGTACAAATAAGTGCATTGGACAGTTCCTGCAAGAACCTCAGTAGAGGCTAAATGCCACGCTTTCTCGTCTTTATTCTCCTCATTGAACCTAGGACCTCCGCCATTACGGACATTCTCTGCAATTACCCTGAGGCGGCGAGGGTGCAGAAATTTGATTATCCAGTTAAACGAAGGACCAGTAGTCCCAGGAAGCACATAAATTGACTTGGGCGAAGTGCGCATGCGCACGACTCAGTGTGCCAGGCAGTAATGACAAACTGGGTCCCAGCAGGAAATGATTGTACGCGCATGAATAGCTGGCTTAATGACAAAAATCAGAACCTCTGAACATGCGGAACGAAACCTCACGAGACTTCCCGATACAGAGCCAACTTGGAACCAGCGTCATGGACATTACTGACAATGCACATCTTCATTGTAGACATGAACTACTCCATATGGACAGATGAGAACGGTATTTACAGGGAGAACAACTCATTTCGAAAATAATGGAGCGATAGATTTGTTCTTATTTACCGATAATTGCGATTCAGATGAAGACATTTCAGCCATATAATATTCAGCATCAAGCTAGACATTCCGCCATTTCTGTATTATAAAATAGCAATTGTTTCACCACATTAACAGACTTTACTTTTAAAAAATAATTACGAACGAATATCTATGGTTAATAAGTGATCTAGAAATAAATATTTGAAAAAGAAATTGTTTGAATATCATCTCTGCGTTAGGCGTCAAGTAAACCGGGCCAGCATACACCAACCCCCTCATTTCTCAGATTACCCTCACTACCGCCCATGTCTCGCCAGCCCGACCCCCACTTCCATCCCCCTCACTTCTCACGTTTCTCTCAGGATATCGAGTGATCAATTTTAATTCAACTACAACCCCAGCCTTCGTGACCTAGGACTGCAGTAGACACTGTGGAACTGTGCACGCATAGCGATCTTTCATCAAGGAACACATCACAAGAACAGACCGTTCCATATCATCTGACTAGCGTTGAGGTGCGAATAAGCAAGATCTATGACAATAATGCAAGATCTATGATGCTAAGCGCCATACATTGATATAAAGTGTTTCAGTGAGATCAATTAAATGAGTGATGTTCGCAAGACTTACCGTTGCGTTGTCCTCGATGACGCTGACATCTCCACTGTAGTTGATGCTGACTTCACATCTGCATCCCGACAGTATACATTCCTACAACAAAACGCCATGGTTATCTTCCTAACTAGCCGCTATATTGCTCTAATCCACCCAGTGTGGACTAAGCAGGAGATTGACTACGTGATCTATAATCATCTCATCCCAGGCCGGAGGCACCGGAGACGTGTCCACTCCACTGACGGCGAGTGCCACCCACTTCTGAGTAGCATGTCCAGAGCCTCGATTATAAAGGGTGACTGACCACTGTCCATCTCTCGGCCATCCGGTGAATCTAACCCGACAGCAGGTCATTAGGGAACCGCGCCCAGCACAGATGTGGGCAGATCAATTATGAAATGACCCATTGTTTCTGGGACCAGTGTTTAATTATGCACGATGGAATTTGACGATATTGGAGACCTGCCCCTATCGCGGCTCAGTGCTGTTGGCCATTGTTAGGCGTAGAGCTCTGAAGATTAATATCGATCGTTCGTTCGTCCCTCGGTGTGTCCGGCCGTCATGACGCAGGGTCCTCAGCGCTGTCACTGGACGCCGTCAGTGTAACGCACTAGCACTGCTGACTTCAGAGGGGGTAGAAATGGGGTCTTTTGTCCGAACGGACAGGGACAAGATGAGGTCAATTTATGGTCAATGTTAGAACTCGCGTCCATGGTATCAACACATTATTCAATGTTACAAACTGATTCAATTCATTGTCAATAGTGGGGTAGAATTTCACAATAGAGACGTTACCCGAGTACCAGGGAGGGCTGGAACATATTAAAGGGGCTTATTTGATACTGTATGTGCGTGAGATGGTACCACCTATGATGTGAAACTCTCAACAGCCTCTACCCGCACAGTCGCCGTGAGATCAATACCTACGCTATAACATCGCTTGTGTTACAATACGGCAACACCGAAGCGCAATCTCAGTTATCAATAGCCTCATTACTATTCACCGCTTAAACAAAGGCATTGATTTTTGAATGAAGGACTCGTTATTCGCCAGTGTTATGGTATTATGGAATAAGCTATGACGCTAAAAATTATAATGATGTCAGACGTCAAATTCCGAAACGGTGGTTCTGCTTTCCAAAAATGTACGAACATATTGGATTTCAGGATAACTGTCTGTGTGTAGCTTCTCTGCAGAAGTAACATAATTAGGACGTGGAGATCCTGGCGTGCTGTCGATAGAGAGATCACTCTAATGACCATCCAGCTCTACAACAGTTATCGATGCTTGGAGTGAGATTGTGCCCGCTTATTGACCGTTATTGTCGGCGAACAATGGCTGCCGCCTCGCACCAGTGGGCATCAGCTAGCCGAGATTGGGAATCAGATCACACACAGAATTATTAATATAACCCGACTACATCAACCTCACCTGTCTTCGCTGAAGCTGTCCAAACTTCCTTGCTGTTGATCGGTGTTGTCCATGTTGGTCGAAGGCCTCCTGAGGAAGAGGATCGCTGCCGCTCTGTGAGACGGAATGTATGTAACCTTGGCAAGGTGACCGTAGTCGGCCGGTACCGGCTGCCAAAGCGCCAAGGAGCGACGCTAGTCGACTCCAGCATCTTGCACTTCATATACAGTCAAGCAAAGGTCCGGCCATACGGTTCCTGAAAACTCCTTCATCAGAGAGCCAACCCTCATCTCCGACTCTGTCAGTGTCACGCCAGCGACATGGGGTGTACAGGAATCTAGGGTGTCGGGGAAAACCGGGAGGGACGGGTAGCCGAGCGTCTCTCGATGCTGCTGCACAAGAATGCCAGCCATGGCTCCCTCCCGCACCCGCATGCCTTCACTGCCTCTCTGCCAAGTCCCAGGGTCGATATGCGCAATCGTCAGTCGTATCCGATTGGCAGAGGCTTCTGCATGAATAATAGATGAATTAGGGCCATGGCAGGCGAGCCGAGGTCCTCGGCAGGGGCTTTAAATAAGATAACGACTGCATTGCTCCATCGCGAAGCCTTCAAGGTACTGCCACATCCTTACCGTATCGATGTTGTCATGTTCCTCACTGCTGAGGATGTCCTGCGCCAAGAGTGGACGCGAGGGTGACCATCGTCGTGGGCTTCCCTGGCATGTTCTCCCCACCTCCCGCCTTATCCACTTACCAGTCTGCAGTTAATGCCCGCCTCACAGTGGGGATAGGAATACAGACACTTCTGCCAAGTCCCTTCTTCAATCGATATGGCCCGTTCATTAAAAATGCACACATCTTGGCCCGTGTTACAGAGCCTGTGGGGCTAATCTCTCCCGAACCTCGCCGAATCCGTAGGATACACTTCACTGGCCTAATCATCCAGCAGACATCCACAATCAATTCCTATTACCAAACATGTTTCTATATTCACAAATGACGCCTGTTCTTGTATTTTACATCTATATTTGGGCATTCTGAGTATGGTAATATCATGGAGCTTCCGTGTGGCCATTCATGTATTCAACTAATATATTCTAAGGCTAGTTGGTACATAATTCTTGATTCTGGTTTCTGTTGCAAATATTTACCCGAACACTTTTCCAACAGCTATAAGAATATTGGGGACTTTTTAATGGTATCCATCTCTCCAATACCACTACCATGTACCCATACAGCACTTCCCATTTTCCACACGGTTAGTTTTCCTTTGGATGCTACTGTATCATTATGCTGCGGTGTCTGTTATGTTGAGGATTGAGCAGGCGCGATGCCAGGCGGGGCTATACTTAGATTCTTGTTTCGAATTAAGACTGTGCATGATATCGACCTGGTTTGCCAAGCTGCTATGTGGTCTTGCCATTTTGTGAGTGCTGCCATCTAGCGGGAAAATTCGCTCATCACAGACCCCTGCCTATAATAAAAGTTCTCATCAATGAGATTTTGCATCTGGATGGCGCCTAGCAATGAGAGTTACATACTAACCCATCATCTGAAGTGAATCACGTATAGGTCAATATCAAACAGAAATCTTGAAATTCCCCATACTCACAGAGAAAACCAGGAACCTTCCATTAAATCCACAACGCTCGCCCGTGTGCGCGCCACAATAATGTGATATTATATAGTATGATATGATAGAGACACGTTTCAGGTGACATCCAAAGTCCCAAGAGGGTTCAAGAAACAGCAAGCCGTACTTCAATGGCATTGAGGGTACGTGGATATTTCTAGATGCAGCTAGGGTTTTGGAGTTTTTAATGATGTCGTCGGACGACAACACTTCTTTGAACACAGTGCTATGGAGCTTCACCTAAGTGACAGTGGGTATTACACAATGGCATGTGTGTGCACATGAAGCTCAATCACTCAACCATGTGTGAATGTGTATAACACAATGTCATACCTGTATGCATGACGTTCTAGCAACACAACCATGTGGTAATGTTTATGACACAATGTTATGAAAATGTACTTGACGCTCTGTCAATACAACCATGTGTCAACGTGTATAACACAATATCATGCTTGTATGCATGACGCTGTAGCAACACAACCATGTGTCTACGTGTATACTACATTTGCATGCAAGTATCCATGACGTTCTATGCATGACCACGTCTCAATATGTATAACACAATATCATGCAGTGTTCGAGACGCTTTATCAACACAGCCATGTGTCAGTGTGTATCACGCAATGTCGAACCACTGTAAATGACACTCTATCATCACAACCACTTTGACGGTCTGTCAACATAAACAGTTTGAAACGCAAATGAGAATAGCATCCCAAGCCAATTTGTACCCAGGGTTTTCGGTTTTGAAACAGAAGAACATCATGGTAAGTTTACAGTTCTAAACTGGAGCAACTACACGCCGATCTGACAAATGGTATTCTACTACATTTATGTAAAACCATGATCTGATATTAGCCATGGTGCCATGTGTACATACCTATCTGACAATATCTATTGCACTATATCAACACACATAGCTTGCAGTGTTTGTGCACTATATCTACACAATGTATGTACATATGTACAACCCATCTGACAATGTTTGTAGTGATAAATATCTGTAACCACCTTACAGATACTATATCAACACATCTGTCTGAGAATGTTTATAGTGCTATGTCTACACACCCATCTCACAATGCCTGTGGTGTTATTTCAGCACATCCATTTGAAAATGTTTATGGTACTATAGAGGACAACTTTCTGACAATGTATAATATTTTTAACTACACAACCATCTACGAATGTCAATGGCTCTATATAAATGTGAAAGTCACTGTATCTATACACTCAACTAACAATTTTGCTGTATCAGCACACCCATCTGAGAATGTTTATGGTACCTTTTCAAAGGATTTATCTGGAAATGTTTAAGGCGTGATGTCTACACTTCCATGTGACAATGCAATATTTGACAATGATTAAGGTACCATTATACAAACCGATCTGACAATGCTAATAGTTCTGTATCAATACGTCTATCCGTCAATGTGGTGCTAAATTAAAGCACCTATCTGACAACGTTTAGGGTACTAGGTTTTGACTTTACCTTGAGTTTGCTCACAAATTAGGGATAGAAAATTTTAAGGCTTAATTACATCCTGAAAAGTACTCGCCATATTCAATATTGACGCATATCTACAATGTAACTTTCAAACCACGGTCTTATGATTGAAGAAGGAAAGAGCATAATGCTGCATCAAATGTTGTCCTGTGTGCGTTATATCCAAAGGTCAAGGTTATATTATAGTGTCGTTTTATGTGAAGTTAATATTCTTCACCTCCACAATACTGTGCCTTTTCATTATATGCAAAGTGAACAATATTTACCTCCACAATACTGTACCTTTTCATTATATGCAAAGTGAACAATATTTACCTCCAAAATATTGTACCTTTCCATTTTATGCAAACATTTTAACATTCTTTACCTCCAATAAACTGTACCTTTTCATCATATGAAATGTGTATTCTATTTACAACCGGGGATCGTTCCACTCTACCTTGAAATTGCCTACCACTCTATTCTTACCTATGTTGTATTAAAGAAAACTGGACACATTATAGTTTTTACATTAAAACAAAACGCAATGACGAAACTGCTCCTATAGGGCTAAAATATGTTGCAAAATCTAAATAGAACTGCTATAAGTATAAAGACGTGGTTATCAAAGTGATGTCAGTCACACTGGTGTAGCATGCACATAATACATTAGTGTAAAATATGGCGGTATATGAATAATCTGCTCCATCTCTGATCACGATCTGACTTCAACAAGCCTCTGAGCTCATCAAGGCAAGATCATCACGATTGCCCCTCTCCATATGGTCAAATTACGTGGATGACGCTAATAAACAACATAAAATGACAGGACACGCTTACTGGACATAGGTCATCAACTTACCTGCGATTTCAAGTGGTTTAACTTGACTACATTTTAATTGTCCTTACGAAATTAATGCCAGAACACATAAATCGCATTACATACATTGATTGGTAAAACTCAGTCTTCTAAACAAATACACTTATACGTGGTTAATTTTGCTTACAACGGTATGTACTTATGTACTGTTTACATAATGCATTTAGTGCAAATTGTTTATAATCCGCTGTGATTTTCAACTCAAAAGACAACATAACCTAACCTGGTATTTTTCGTAATGTAATCGATACAACTCCTAAAAATTAATATCACCGGGAAGTAGTCTGAGCTCAGTTCGACCAAATTCCTCGACCAGTATATATGGATTTATAAAAAATATATTGCATCATAATACGTTCTGAACAACTCGTAGAAAGTTTACTTTGACGCCATTTCCTCTTTTGTTGATTGAAAGTAATTACCAATGAGATAACTCAAGATTGAAGAACATTAAATATCGCCATAAGGGAACGCAGAATTTGAACAGAACAGATCAATTTGTATTCAGGGAGCTGTCTAGGATATTCTTTTATTGTTAGTTTAAAACATAAATTTCTATATTGCAGTGAAGTCTTAATCTTACTGCAGAACCGTCAAATGTCTCTTAATTCGTTTATCTACAATTCTTTACAAATAGTTAACAAGATCACATTATTTGCAAAATTGTTTTCCAACAATTTATGACTAATTAATGGGCACTTATTTTCCCACAAAGCCAGTGTATTTATTTTCAAACTCATAAAACGCGCGAGGTCATATTACTTCACCTGTCATATTTTGGTGAAGATGTCTGAAGGGATTCTCAAGTAACGTAATTTCTGTTTCACTCACTTCAAATCCGGTCATCGAAGTTCCACTGTGATATATGTTCTATCACCATAAACACAACGAAGCCTCCTATAAAATAAGCCCACCTATCCTCAATCTGAAACAATCAGTAGTGTTCCCACACACGATCAAGATCTGGCAGTTACTGCCGAGAACAGTTTCTTCGACAAGGTTATGTCAAGTAACAAAATTCCACAAACACCATTTCTTCTCGGAACATCACAGAATATTTCCTATAGCGTATTCAAATATAGTTTCAATTCTGAGTCAAACCATCAAAAGGCCTGTCAAATAACATATTCCATCAATTGATCTTTGTTCAGACTTTGAAAGAACATTTCATATATCATATTAAAACATGATACCCTTCCCTTGACAATCAAACGACATGTCAAATAAAGTACTGAGACAATGAATCCTTTATCGAACAATAAAAGGACATGTCACACAAACAATAATCAAACAATGAATCCTTTCTTTGACAATCAATGCACATGTCATGTACAATATTATAAAACAATGAACCTTTCTCAGACAACCAAAGGACGTGTCAGATAAAATATTATAAGACAATAAATCCTTCATCGCACATTAAAGGTCATGTCATATAAACTATAAAA